AAGGATTTACCTCAGCCTTCCATGTTGTACTGACTGGTGCTTTACCTTTTAATAGTCATTATTTCAAGCCTTCCTTACCATTCCTACATTAAAAGACATTTATATTCCACCAAAGAGAATTTTAAAAGCATTTTGTGTTTTGCTTACTGTGTACTTTAGGTGGGAACAGGAAGCAAAGACTTTTTAGGGCTCTTTGGTTGGTGTTGCCATTTAATTACTTTGTCAAGGATTCTTCCAAGAGCTGGAGAAAAGTGGCCCAAGGGAATCCCAGAATGGTTTGGGTTGGAAGGGGCCTTAAAAATCATCTCATTCCATCCCCTGCCATGGCAGGGTCACCTCCCACTGTCCCAGGCTGCTCCAAACCCTGGCCTGAGCTCAGGACAAGTGGCCCAGGGCATTTAAAGCCATGACCATTGAGAGGGACACTCCACCTGTCCCCATCTCCTGCCCGTCCCTGCTTTTGTGGCCATGGTTTGCTTTCCCCCCTCACAAACAGTTTTTCCATGCAACTGGGTCACCTTTGAAAGTCAGCAGAAGTGGAGTTACTTTGTTTGAAATAAAAACATGTATTTCTATCACCTCAGGAGTCGTTTCTGTTTCAGCACAGGGACCCTCTGATCCTCCCACCTCCTTTTATCAGCATCTTCAAAAGAGAAAGGCAGTTATAATTGCTTTCTCCCCTCGCCACAGAAGAAAGGGAGAGGCTGCTGTTCCCCTGCACTGGGATCCTGAGAAGAAACATGCTCTGAGCAATCATTTATTTACAGAACAAAAATAACATCTGGATTTCAAAGGGCAGAGCAGTTCAGAAGAATGAGGCTCTCTCTCCTCCTGATTCCCACTCCCTGCTCTGCCTCTCTCCTCACTCCAGGGGCTTCTCCCTCTCTTTCTGAGCATTGTTCTGCTTTTGCCACAGAATCCCAGAGTGGTTTGGCTTGGAAGGGACCTTAAAGCCCATCCAGACACCCCAGCCATGGCAGGGACACCTTCCACTGTCCCAGGCTGCTCCAAACCTGGTCTTGGACATTTCCAGGGATCAGGGGCAGCCACAGCTTCTCTGGGCACCTTGTGCCAGGGCTTCCCCACCTTCAGAGTGAGGAAATTTCCTAATATTCAATTGTTAACCCTGCCCTCTGTCAGTTTGAAGCCATTAGATGCCCTGTGGAGAAGCAGGGAGCAGAAAAATGGGAAGTAACCAGTAGTTCCACAAGCCTGGTTTCTTCCAGCTCTTTGATTTTTGCTTTATTTCCTGGTTCCTGATTCAGCAGAATCCTCTGAGTGCTGTCACACAAAGCATCTCTCCCACACATGAACCCCATCCCATTCCAGTGAATTTTCTGTCACTTTAACCCCTTCACTGCTTTGAAGCTGATGAATTGGTGTCTTCAGAGCCATTAGCAAAGGTGGCTGATGTTCCCCAAAAAAAGCCCACAAGTTCTTAGTAAGGACAAACTAATTAACAATTCTGTTTTTATTAAGGCTAAAAATGCACCTGCAAACTGCCACATCCCCACTGTCCCTGCCAGGCAGCTGGAAAGGCACCTTTGGGATGTGTCACATCTCATTTCATCTCATTTCAACACACAAATTTTGCAGGAAAAACCTCTGAGAATCCCTGAAAATTAACAGCAAGTTTTTTAAAGCCACAAAGAGATTCCATCACAGCCTCCTGCAATCCCCTGCTTGGATAACTCCATTTCTATAAATGTATTTACAAATAAATATGTATAAATGTGTTTATCCAGTTCAGCTGATGAACTGGCCACAAGGATCACTAAAGATACCTGCAAAAATGAAATGATTGATTAACCTCCTCATATAATCAATAAATTCCAAACACTCCATGAAGACAACCATTACAAAAAAAGCCATTTATTAGATATATGTACATATATACATATACATGCAAAACGATTTTATACACATTTACACAGGTTCAATTATTAATACAGTGCAAAAATGTCTAAAAAGGTACCAGCCCACCTTCTACAAACTCAACAGATCTTTGGGAGAAAAGGAAAAAAAAAAAAAGAAACCAGAGAATTACCAGCTCCATTAAGTGACTAAGCACTGAGCAAGCAAATCTGGAAATTATTGAAGTTTATTCTTTGCCAATTTGCTTGTGCTGAGCTGCTGGGTGAGGAGAAGAGCTTCCAAAGAACTTCTCTTGCAAAGTGACAGAATGAAGAAGATGCAATTCAAACCACATTAACCAGTTTAAAGCTGAAAAAAGGGATGGATTTCTCTTTGGGGATTTGATTCAATACAGGAAAAATCCCACCTTATGAGTCAGATTTTGTGTTCTCAAACTGCAAGTCGTTCTTTTTTATCAAATCTTAAAGCACTGAGATCAATGTAAACTATTCAATTCCTCTTGCCAAGAGAAAATGTTTAACTGTATTAACACTGCGTGGACATGGGATAAATACCAAATAAAAAATAAAAATAGATCAAATTCTGTGTGTTCTGCCTCATCCTGGAACCCCAAACCTATGAAGTGCACACAGACTGACCCATGTAGATTCCTTAATATGGTTTACACCTATTACAGGAAAATAAAAGGTTGCAAAGGGATTAAGACCAACACCAAAGCAGAGCTTTGTCTCTGGGCAGAAAACACCTGAGGATTCAGCCACATTCCCCAAAAATCCACAAAGCAAAAAAATACAAGTTTAGGCAAAGAACTGAACCAACTGATTTGGTTTGGTTTTACTGAAATGTTTTCAGGAAAACCAATTCAAAAAAAGCTGAAATTAACCTTTCTCCACTCTGTTAATTGCACAATTATGCAGACACCCTGTTCCAGCACTCCTCTGCAGAGCTGTGGCTGCCATCCCCTGGCTCAGGGATGGGTTTGGTTCAGGACAGAGCAGTTGGATGCTGGGGAAGCAGCAGGAATGTTAAACTTTTCCAATCAGCTCTGAGGAATGCCCTCTGGAAATGCTCTGTGTGGAGAAACAGGAAAAGCTCTTTTGGATTGGACTTTTGGATAAAAACTCTTTAGCCAGAGTGAGGATAAAAAGGCAGGAGCAGGGATTTGGCTCCTGTCCTAAAGTCCTTTCCATGGAGATCTGTCTGTCTGTATAACATGCTTCATCCCTTCCCCACATTAATCCAGTGGGTTGATATCAATTTATGCTCCTGGAAAACATCACCAGTCACTAGATCCATTATCCTTAAAGTGTTGCATTTTTAGTGTCAGATTTTTGGGGTGTTCTTTTTGCAGATTTTTTTTTAAACTTGTAATCCAAACTCTGAGTGGCTGAGTTCCCTGCAGTCTCCAGAAGTAATTTACCAGGGAAACTGGGAGTGAACAGTTTGAAAATTAAGAGCAGCACAAAACCCCTCACATCTGTGGGGTCATCTTGGTGTCTCAGGGACAGTGCTTGAATTGTGGCTTCATTTCTCCACAGACAGAAAACTGGGATAATGACAGACAAACAACTTTAATCCCCTCCTTTAGAACAGAAAACCTTTCCCTTATGACACACAGCTCAAGCTGTGTCCTTAAATGCCTGGATAAAACATTCCTCCATCATTCCTACCAGACTATTGCTCACACTTTGAGGTTTTTATCATGTTGTTGTTCCAGTAAGTGCAGTGAAAAAGAAATCCCTACATTTTCCTCCTGGCACAAGTCCCCTGATGTCCTACAAACTGTCCAGGTTGGAATGAGCTGCCCATGGATGCTGCTTCTGCATCCAGAAGTGCTTCCAATGTCCAGCACCACAAATTTCTGGTCTTATCCTCGTGTTTGCATCCTGAGATTTCAAGAAAACTCACTGAGATAAAAGAAAGGAATTTTCTGCCTTATAACAGAAAACCTTTCCACTATGGCACACAGCTCCAGCTGTGTCCTTAAATGCCTGGCTAAAATATTCCTCCATCATTCCTACCAGACTATTGCTCACACTTTGGAGGTTTTTGTCATGTTGCTGCTCCAGTAAGTGCAGTGAAAAAGAAATTCCTATATTTTCCTCCTGGAACTAAGTCTCCTGATGTCCTACAAACTGTCCAGGTTGGAATGAGCTGCACATGGATGCTGTTTCTGCATCCAGAAGTGCTTCCAAAGTCCAGCACCATAAATTTCTATTCTGATCCTCGTGTTTGCATCCTGAGATTCCAGGAAAACTCACTGACATAAAAGAAAGCAATTTTGTCAAGTGTCCTTGCAAAAAAAGACAACTCTGCTGCATGTTAATCTCTTTGCAACCAGAGGTAGAGACTATGTGAGAAGAAAAAGAAATCTTTGGTGAAAGAAATGGGAATGAGCAGAAAGAGAAAAAAAATAAAAGGAACTTTTAGGACCATAATTCCACAATAACATACCTACAGTGTGAATCTCTACAAGCCCTCAAGGACAGCTGCATCAAACTGCTATGCATTTTTTGAACAGCCAGCCTAAATTATTCATCTATGCCCTAAAATGCCCCTGTGCACCTGGATCCATGACAAAATAAAACAGCCAGTGCAGCAGAGGTTGGGAATTCCAGTCCCCAATTCCAAAGTGCACACCCAGAAACGCAGATCTGAGTGTCAGAATTCACCACCATTAACCACAGGTGTTCTACAGAACAAAGAGAACCTGCTCTTGCTTTCCATTCCTGGAAATGGCTTCCTACTCACCAGCTACTCATTTTATTAAAAAAAGGTGAAGGAGTCAGTGGCCTGTCATAAATAGGCTTGGAAGATTTATTATCCATCCAGGCCAAGCAAACATGGAATTGCCCTTATCCTGAAAGTGACCTTAGCCAAGGAAACAAAGGCCACAGGAGCTGACAGATCACTTACACCCACTTGGATTATTTTCTGCTGCCCCAAGCATATTTGCAATTAACCCATGAGCACACACTAAACTGCAATGGGCTGTTCAGCAAGATATTTATAGACTTTATGGTTTATGAAAGAGCCACAGCCTTTCCCTGTCCTTCCAAACCTAGAGAAATGATCCTGAAGCTCACCCTCAGCATTTTCCCCGCTGATTCTGCACTCACCTAATTACAGCAAACAGCCCTTTACTCACATGTACACCAAGACAATTGAGAGACAGAAATGTTACCCATCACTTGACCCTTGTTTTACCACACTATTGGAGTATTTGCAGCAGCAGGGCAAGACTGACCTGCCCAGCTGTCCCAGAGCCAGTGAGACAAATGGCAAAATGCTGTCTGCATGGTGGCAACCAAGGAGGAAAAGCCTGCTGAAGGTAAGAACTTCCCTCTCTGGTGACACTGACAAGCCCCACCATGTGAAATAGAGCTGCACCCCTCGCTGTGTGCTGGACAGAATTACAGGATCCTGCTCATCCCAAGTTGCTTGGAGCTGTTCTCCTTGCAATAACCATTGCCATGGATGCTTAAAAAACACTCTGAGCTATTTTTGGCCAGGTGAATACAAAAAAAAGAGTTGTAAAAACAGAGTAGCAAACCCCAAGTTTGTTGTTTTTTTCATACACCACAGTCAGGCTGCTTCTCCAGGAGCTGCCTTGTCAGGATCTGGTAAGAGGAAAGAGAAGCCACTCCTATGTGGAAGGAGATTTGCCAGAGGTTCCTCAATCCATACAAGTAGATGTTGCATGAACAGACACAGAAAAGGAGCACAAATGTCTTCACCTTCCTGGCTGAGCTGTAGAAGAGGTACAGGTAACACTGCAAAGGAGCAGAGAGGGAGAGTTAGCCCTGAACTCTGCACAAAACCAGGGAATTGCTGCCTGGGACCATCTGCTGAGCATGTGAAGGGCAAAACCTCACAGGAGAACATGAAAAGCTCCCAGTGCTGACAGAGGAGTCACTTTTGCCCCTCAGGCAGTGACAGATCAGCCTTTGTCAGCTCAGGTCACAGTTTCCAACTGTGCTGATGCAGAGGTCAGCACGTGGAAAGCACTGCAGGTTGTGCACAGCTTTTGGGGAGAATATAAATCAAATATAAATCAAAAGGAGAAGAGAGAATTCTCCTTTATTCAGCTTCCCTGGCTTCAGGTACTCACAGGGAAAGAGGCAGCACAGAGCCTTTCTTTGTGAAAAACAGCTTGCATCAAGTACTTAAATCTAAACTCATTTATTAGATCTAAATTAATCTATTAGATCTAAATAAATCTATAAGATCAAAATAAATCCATTAGATCTAAATAAATGTATTAGATATAAATCCATCTATTGGATCTAAATAAATCTATTAGATCTAAATAAATCTATTAGGTATAAATCCATCTATTAGATCTAAATCCATCTATTGGATCAAAATCCATCTATTGGATCAAAATCAATCCATTAGATCAAAATCAATCCATTAGATCTAAATAAATCTATTAGATCTAAATTAATCTATTAGATCAAAACAAATCTATCAGATCTAAATCCATCTATTAGATCTAGATAAATCTATTAGATCAAAATAAATCCATTAGATCTAAATAAATCTATTAGATATAGATCCATCTATTAGATCTAAAGCCATCTATTGGATCAAAATAAATCTATTAGATCTAAATCCATCTATTATATCAAAATTAATCCATTAGATCTAAATAAATCTATTAGAGCAAAATAAATCCATTAGATGCAAATAAATCCATTAGATCTAAATCCATCTATTCACTCCAAAGCTCTGCCATGAGCAAAGGTGTAAGAAAGCTGAAAGACACTAAATTGTATCATAATACAACAAATAATCCCATAAATACATCAAAGTCCAATAGTGGTCCCCAACCCATGATCCAAAAGGAAAAAGGACAATGAATACACTGCAGGCATCAGTTATTCCTAGAAACAAAACTGCAGCACCTTTCTGCAATGCCAGGCTGAAAGCTGAAGATTTTCCAGCATGTATTGCCCTCAAGTTAAAGGTTGTAGGATTTTTTAGGAATTTAAGGAGCTTTTCAAGGAAAACCAATTTGTAACATGTTGGATTTTCCTCATTGAAACTCTTCTGTGTAAGGTCAGAGGAAATAACCCCATTATGGAGAATATGGGAAATATGGAAGACTGGAATATGGAAAAATCCCATTAAGGAACCACCAGGATTCAATGTGATTTTTCATGTAAATTACACCATTTTCAATAATGTTGCTGTCCAATATTTGCTCAGTCCCCAAGGTGGTTGTGCTGCAAAAGCCCATCACTAAGTCAGACACTGACAGAAGATGTGTCCATCCCTTTGGGAATAAACCATCTTTGGGATGGCATTTATCCATCACACCCAGCCCCTCTGACTTGTCCCAACATGGGAGCACTGAAAAAGCCTGAAAATGCGATTTCCCAAGGATCAAAGTGTGCCTTGAACTGCTTTTGTGCCACTTGACTGGAATAAATCAGTGCAATCACCTGGGTAGGATATTAAAAACCTCTGCTTAGCTGCAAATGGCTCTGTCTTGTGAATTGTAACAGCAAAATAATCAGCAAAAAATTGTTATTTGCAGTTAACATACCTGAAAAACACAGGCTAGAAAAGGTAGAAAAAAAGCGATCACATTTCCAATTCCTTCATGGTCCTCCTGTTGGGATTAAAAGAAGTGACAACCACGTCAGGCACAGCTTTTAGCAAGTGCTGCTTGATATCTGAGAACATTTTAAATATAGTCAAGAACCTCTCATCCCAGTTTATGCTGATTGACTGTAACAGTGTCAAACACCAAGATCAATATCTTTGGAAAAGACACCAAGAACTGAGGCTTATGTGACAGTTCCTGCTAAATAAAACTGTGTCAGGATACAATCAGCACACTTTTTCTCCCCTTTTTTAAAGTTTTTTACAGTCTCATGTTTATTTTAAAAAAATTACAGAAAAGGATATAAAATAAATAAAAGAACGGAGCAAAAAAAATCCAGGCAGCCTGGTTAGAATAAATAAATTTAAAAATAAAATTTCTAAAAATTATTAAATAGCTATTTTAAAATTATTGAATATTTAAAATAAATTAAATATTAAATTATATAAACTATTATATAAATAATTGCATAATAATAAATAATTATATAAATAATATATAATTTATATTATATATAATATTTATATATAATATATATAATATAATATATAATAATATAATATATATTATATATAATAATAAATAACTATATAAATAATTAATATTAAATTATTTAAAATATTGAATAATTTTTAGAGTTAAGTAATAAATAATTCAATAATTATTTCATAATTATTTCATAATTATTTTAATAATTAAATGATTGATAAATAATGTAATACTTTTTATTTATTTTAATAATTAAATAATTTTAGAATTCTAATAATTAAAAAATAAATTAAAGAATAAATAATCAAAAAATAAATTTATATTCTTAATACATTATTATAAAGAATAAATAATAAAAATTTTAAAAGATAAATAAAAATATGTCAAAATTTAAACTTCTATAGAACAGAATAAAATGCAGAATATTGTGATGTACAGAAACATACACAAGGTGTAGCAGTCCTGGAGAAACAAAACACTTCTTGTGGAGAGATTGTGCTCAGCTGAGGGGCAGAACAGCCACCCTTGAACTGGTTACCCAAAAATTCTCTGCCTCTCACTCATTGTCAGGTCTGGGAGCATCAGGGTTACCTGAAAGGAATATTCTGCCAGGTGAACTCCTCGGATGAGGTTCAGAGCTCCACACATGATGTTCAGAACAAGTGACAGAATGCCCAGGGGGGTCACAGGCTGCATTCTGTAAGTAGGGACTGGAAATGAAATGAAAACCAAACATTAGTGAAAGTTTGCTCTATTACTTTCAATCTTTTACTAGAGAACACCACAATTACCTTGTGTGGGTTTTAAACACTTTCAAAACCTTCAATGCTTGCTCCAGGGAAGATTGATTATTAATAGAAACCCCATTTTTTTGTTGTTGTATTGCAGTATTCAGTTCTTCACACATCCAGAAATCACTCACTGGAGTACTTTTAAACAGGTCAACAACAGATTTTTCTTGACCTATTTGGCATCAGTGTCTTCCATGGTGCACACAGATAATTCTTTGTTTATTCCAGCAGATGAGGATGCTCAGCACTCCTCAGGTCAGCAGAAAAACCAAAGGCTTTCCCCACCCAAAGGTCTGGGGAAAGGCTTAGATTTCACCCACCACCACAGCAAGGCAGCAACTCATCTCCTCCTTAACCAGTAATTAAACATTTCATCCCACCTGAGGGCTCAGGCTGCCCCCATTTCACAGGTAGTGAATTATCTGCCTCCTTCCTTTCTCACCTTCTCTGCTACTACTTAACACCCACACTGCTGAGCAGCAGTTCTGCATGATAATCTCATTGATACATCCCTAATTAAGGTCAAAGTAATTATCATAAATGTGTGTTTAGCTTTGGAACCTGCTGCCTTTAATTCAGGCTTGGCCAAGAGCACACCTCCAGTTTTCCTGCACTTGTTCAACAACAGATTCCACACCTTGATCCTCACCTACATTTCATCCCTGCCCTTGGATCACCACAAGTAGGACACTGCCAGTTTCATAAAAAATGATAATTTGCAGCTCAGATATCAAACTCAGATGTTCTGCTGCACCCAAGACACAGGAGAGAATGAATGAGCCCTCAAGGAAAACATCTCCCTATGCCCATGTGTATCCAGATCCTCTTTATCTGACTATTCATCTGTTTATCTGACCCTTTATCTATTCATCTGACCATTCCAGATAAACTGCACCTCTGGCTTCCCTTGAGTGACAGATGAATTACCACAACACCCACCACATGGTTTCAGAGAGAAAAACACTCCTGCCATCTCCTTCAAGCCAGATTCTGATAGATGGATGGAAAAAACTCTGGTGCCAAATTAATAGAGGGATGTAAAGCACCTTTCATCTGTGTGTCTGTAATTAATTTGTCTGGCGTGCACTCACACATCCATAATTTCAGCTCCAAAGGAACTGGATCAACTCAATTTGATGAGTGTCACATTATTGGGTGTTACAGACAGAATGCTCTAACTCTGTCACTCAAAGGCAATTTGGCTTTTCATTTGCTACACAGTGACATTTACAGAGAACTTGTAGCAGCATCTTTATTCATTCCCTGACCCCAGATTTCAGTTTCCTTCTATTTTTTCCTGCTATTCCTACTTTTGATTAATTAAATAATGTGGCAGCTATAGACATGTGTAACTCTCCCACAGATATTTCCTAATAAAGACTGCTCCTCAAATTTTAAGGTTTACTTCAGAGGCACAAAATATCTCCCAAACAAATAATTATTAAACACAAATGTCATTCATTGAGCAAAATCTTGCAAACCACACATGCCAAGAATTCCCAGTCCCTAGGGAAGAACATGTAGGTCTCAATATATTGCTTCTGCAGCATGAAATATTATGTAAAAGTTACATTTTTTTTTTTTTAGTCCAGGAGGATAAAAAAGAATTGCTGTCACAGATGCAGGGGAGATTAAAACATCCAGTTACTCAGGGTTCAGATTTTGTGAAAACTGGGCTTGAAATGGTTTGCTGCAGAGATTTATTTGTGCTGTTAAATTCTGAGGTTTAACTCACAAACCGAAATTGCACAGAGAAGTGAGATGGGTCCTGCTAAGGGAAAATTATTTCACTTCCTTGGGTGAAGTCAGCCATATTTTTATAAAGAGAATTTCACACTGGAACGGCCTATTACATTAAATAAGGGAAAAGAAGAGTACAAACCCTCAGTTCAGGACAGCACCACTCTGCACAAGCCCAAATAAACAGCAATTAGGCTTCATATTAAACTGCCTCTTCAAGCAGAGAAATTGTGCACTTCAGAGCACAAGATCCACACAGAAACATTCTGGGAGCTGTGGGTGATGCACCAGCAGGTTTGACCACATGCAGAATAACTGCAAACACCCTCACCCAGTGAAGAAATTGAAACCTCTGCCCAGGAAAGATTTCTGGCAGAGGCCCGTGGCCATTTCACTGGAGGGAGACACCAGAGTGTGCAGCAGCAGCTTGGATCTGCCTCCTGCAGGCCCAGCACAAGGCTGGACACTGAGTCACTCACTCAGAGCTCTGCAGAAACAGCACCAGGAGTGAGAAATGAAATCACTCCAACAGCCTCAGCTGAAAGACAAGCACACAAAAGGCAGAGAGTGAGACAGCTTCAAAAGCAGCCCCTGAAAAGGCCTCTGCAGGACTCCCTGTGTGCCTGAGGAAGATGAAGAACACTCACCAAGGGGAGCTGCAGGATTCACCAGCTGCCTCACAAGAGCAGTGGCACAAATTGTTCTGCTGCTTCCCAGAGGCAGCTGTGATGTGCAAACCCTCCCTGCCCACAGAGAGCCCCCTGTGCCCTGCACCCAGCCCCATGTCCTGGTGCAAACCCCAAACCCTCCCTGCCCACAGAGAGCCCCCTGTGCCCTGCACCCAGCCCCATGTCCTGGTGCAAACCCTCTGTTCCAGATTGCAATGCAAGATGTTTTCCATTACCATCTGTATGGCAGATTCCCTTTGTCAAGTGGGCAGTTTGCCTTATCTCTCTCTCTGAGTGACCACAATCACTCCTCCCTCAGGAGGGGACATCTGCTGATAACAGACTATTGAATGTCACTGCATGTCTGATAAGAACTACAGCATCCCATTGGGAGATGTGAGCCCAGAGGGAGGAGCCAAGCATTCCTACCCAGATATAATCCAGAGGTTTTGAGACACCAGCACGGCTTCTCCACTGGATTCCCCAGAGGAACAGCAGCTGCCTCTCCTTCCACTGGATCTTCAGAGGAAGAGACTGCACCTTTCTACAGGATCCCTGCTCCAGCAGAGCCACCCCTGACACTGCAGGAGGGCTGAGCCACAATTCCAATGGGACTGCCACCAACACCCTGACCCACAGGGTGTCAGGTTGGGTTCTGACTCTGTCAGTGTTGTTCTAGTGTACTGCATTGTTTATTTTATACTTTTATTTTTTTTCTTTTCCCTGTTATTTCCTGCTCCCATATTTTTGCCTGAGAGTCCCTTAATTTAAAATTTATAGCAATTGGGAGGGGTGGGGAGGGTTTACATTCTCCATTTCAGGGGAGGCTCCCGCCTTCCTTAGCAGACTCCTGTCTTTCCAAACCAACCTTTCCTGCCCACAGAGAGCCCCACTGTGCCCTGCACACAGCCCCATGTCCTCTGTGCCCACACTGGCACCAGAGAGGCTCTGAGCAGCAGCCAGGGCTCTGGGGGTGCTGATCAAGGGTGCAAGGGAAGGGTTTTTGTAGCCAGAGTTGGGCTTTGTTTAGTTAACAAAAGGAAAGAACAAGCAGCAGAAAGAATGGAAGTGAAAAGGGGGAAAAAAAATCTCTTGTTCTCAAGAATACTAACAAGGAGAAAGCTGCCCTGACTTTTGTGGCCTTTTTCACAGCAAACTGAAGAGCCAGAGGATGAGCTCAGCCAGCTCCAAAGAGGCCAGCAGCAGCTCCAGCCTTGTGAGGAAGGGATGTTTGGATCATCCCTGGATCAATCAATCTGCACCAGGGAGTGCAGTCACAATTCAATCCTGCTCTCCTGCAGCCACAGCATTTCAAACAGGCTCTTGTAGAGCAGAGCCCTGGTATAAATAACATTAATATGGAACAAACACTATGCACACAGCTAAACTTAGAGCAGCAAAGTGGGATTCAGCTGGGAGGGGATGATGAGAGGAGAGAGACACAAGCCAGGAAAGCTGACTCCAGTGGAGGCAAACAGATGATCATAAACATGAGCCTTAAAATAAAGGCAGAACAATCTGTGAGAGTATTTGGGTTAGACCAGAGAGAACAGCCAGAAATAAAAAGCCAGATGGAAAGTAAAGGAAAGCAATTAGGAATAAGAGGGAAGTGAAAATATATTTCTGATCTGTGGACACAGACTAGATCACAAATATTTACTGGCACTGAAGCTGCTCAAAATTTAAAGAAAAAGTGCAAAGAATTTAAAGAAAAAGCGCAAAGAATTTCTAAGCCCTGTCATAACATGAAAAGATTTAACCTTCAAGCACAGCTCTGAGGAGCACTCACAAATCTGACTGGCAAATAAAGTGCTTTCCATTCTATTTTTAATTCCTCCTGGCCAGTGCCCTTCCATATTCTAATTTAAAATACCTATGTCAAATTAGATTCCAGCTCATCTATCACAAATATAAGATTGAGCAACTGGAACTTAATTTTATTAGTGCTTCATAAGCCAAGAACAACAACAAAAAAAAAAAAGGAAATACAAGCTCATGGCACTCCAGCTGCATTTAAACCACCGTGCTAATAGGATTAAAATAGAGAATGGTTTCGTGGTGGACTTGGCAGGGTTTGGCTTCTGGTAGGATTCAATGATCTGAAAGGTTTCCTCCAACCTAAATAATTCTCTGATTTCATTTGTGGAGGAGGTAGGCAGGACCTTGACTGTGCAACTGAAACACAACTAAGAGGTACCATTTTTATAATAAAGAATTAGAGGTTGGTGCTTCAAAAGCAGGTAAAACATCAGGTTCTGTTATTAAAAAGGCCCCTGTCAAGCCTCTGTGTTATTTATACAGATACACAAAGCCTCTTTCAGAATTTTAGTCAAATGAATTCAATTTTAAAAAGCAAGGTAAAAGGAAAAAGCAAAGAGTGGAGAACACCTCAAGCCAAACAATGTGGGAACAAGAGGTTACCCTCAGCTCATATTTTTCTCATCTTCTTTTCCCTCAAGGCTGAAGAAACTCATTCAGATTGTAATTACAGATCTTTCATTATGAGTTTGCAACAGGCAATGAATGAATCAGTGGAGCTTCTTTAGAAACTTGAACAAACAAGGGTTTGAAGAGAAAATATCACATGGAAAATATCAAGCCTATATTTTCCATCCAGAGAGGAAGATGTAAGGCTGGAAAAAGACTCCACAGCAGCCACCAAAGCTCTGCTGCATACCTGCTGCAATGTAAAGCCCAAATGTTGTTTACTATGATGGAAAAAGCCTTTTTTGGTTTGACACACACAATGTAAATAAATTTTTCTTGGTACACAAGGAACCTCCATGTGTTTTTCTGCCATGTGCTGTGGGCCATAATTCATGACCAAAAAATTAAGCACAGCAGATTTGTCCAGCAATTGAAATCTGACTGCCAAAACAAAATTGATTTTTGAGGTAGAAAAAAAAAAATAGGAACCTCAGTATTGGCCCCTGGGGTTGTTGCTGCAAAAACTTAAAAAATTATATGAAAATTAAAAGTGCTAGCTAAGTAAGCAAACTAAGGCTACATCCTAAGCACTGAATGAGCTGCTAAGTAATGCCAATAACACCAAAGCATGTAATACTATAAAATCAAGCAGCAACAGACTTTTCACTGCTTGCCCACGGACATAACTGCCAGGACTTTGAAAAGATGCTCTGCTTCAACCTTTCTTCACACTCCACATCCAGAAGCTGAAGGAGCAAGGAAAGGACTTAAAGCTGAGAAAAATTCAGGTTACATCAATGAACTTTTCAGATAAGATGGGTTCCACCTTTTGCCAAACAGATTTTTGGGTTGTAATCATTGTTTTTACCGTTTTACTCAAGTTACCCTGTTAAGCGTCTGGGGAAGTTTTCATAGTAGGAAAAAACAGAGGAGTTGTGGGAATGGAATAAATGTAATAAAATGTAATAAAGCTTTGCTCTGGAAAGATCTACCATGGAGTTTTCCCCACCTAGGCTGAAAGAGAGGACTCCCCTCATGGTGCTCTGCAGCACTAATGCCAATCCACATTAGAAATCTGTCTCAGTTTGAACAGACAGGTGTCTGCTAAGGAAGGCAGGAGCCTCCCCTGAAATGGAAAATGTAAACCCCCTCCCTCTGAATTATTATAATGTTATTTAAATTCCCCCATTGGCCAGTTAACCCTGCCCACCCCAATTGTTCATCCCCACTACAGATTGCTGCTCTTTGTACCATCCCTGTACCCTAAAGTCACTGACCCCATACTTAAGCCTGTGCAGACCACATGGTTTGGTCTCTGTCCCTGATCCCTTTGGCATGGTGGATGCCACAAACCTGGGCTGGAATACATCACACAAAGGCCCTTCCTGTCCTTCTTCCCCTGAGCTATCTGTGGTGTGTGGACTTGAAATGGCTCCCGTGGCCTTACTCAGAGCAGCTTCTGAAGGAGATGCTTTGAGGGAGGTTGTAGCACTTCTACTGTTATAGATAAATATTGTAATATTGGCTTTTTGCAAATATTAAACTAGATTTTATATGTGTATCGTTAGGGTAACTTTGTTATACAGTTTTTATTTCTGCTGTTAATTAAGCTTAGACATAGCAGTGAAATACTGATATGTGGTATAGATACAATTATAATATTGGCTTTTTGCAAATATTAAAACAGATTTCTTATGTGTAGTGCTAAAGTAACTTTGTTATATAGTTTTTATTGCTGTTGTTAATTAAGCTTAGACATAATAGTGAAATAGCTGATATGTGTTATAGATACGTATCGTAATATTGGCTTTTTGCAAATATTAAACTAGGTTTTATATGTGTATTGTTAAAGTAACTTTGTTATATAGTTTTTATTTCTGTTGTTAATTCAGCTTAGACATAGTAGTGAAATAGCTGATATGTGTTACAGATAAATACAATAATACTGGCTTTTTGCAAATATTAAAACAGATTTCTTATGTGTAGTGCTAAAGTAACTTTGTTATATAGTTTTTATTTCTGGTGTTAATTAAGCTTAGACATAATAGTGAAATAGCTGATATGTGTTATAAATACATATCATAATACTGGCTTTTTTGCAAATATTAAAATAGATTTTATATGTGTGATGCTAAAGTAACTGTTATAAAGATATAGTTTTTATTTCTGTTAATTAAGCTTAAACATAGTGAAAGAGCTGATACAAGTATGCGTTATAGATACATAGTATTACTGGCTTTTTGCAAATATTAAAATAGATTTTATATGTGTCATGTTAAAGTAACTTTATATAGTTATATAGTTTTTATTTCTGGTGTTAATTAAGCTTAGACATAGCAGTGAAATAGCTGATATGTGTTATAGATACATATTGTAATACTGGCTTTTTGCAAATTTTAAAATAGATTTTATATGTGTAATGCTAAAGTAACTTTGTTATAAAGATATAGTTTTAATTTCTGTTGTTAATTAAGCTTAGACATAGTAGTGAAGTAGCTGATATGTGTTATAGATAAATATAATAATATTGTCTTTTTGCAAATATTAAGCCAGATTTTATATGTGTCATATTAAAGTAACTTTGTTATATAGCTTTTATTTCTGCTGTTAATTAAGCTCAGTGCAATAGCTGCTATCAGCATGCTTATCAATGCCTGCTGGGATGGGATAACACCCAATGCACACAGGATGAGCACACCTGGACACATCTGCCAACCATCAGCACTCACCCTCTGAAGGCAGTGTGGGCCAAACCCCAAAACAGGAGGTGATAAAAAAGGACCAAAACCACAACCAAGGAATGTGCATGCTCTAAAAAGGCAGACCCAAGGAGGAGCTAAACAATTCTTGGAACATGTAAACTAGTTTGGGGGAAAGTTTACTATGCACAAGGGTCTGTGAATATGCAAAGGGCTGATGTAATTAAAAGGTATTTAAGGAGCATCCCTGAAGGTAACAGTGTGCTCTTGGCTTAGTGCCAAGATGCATCCAGCCATAATACCCTTGCTCTATTGTCCTTGTCTCCTATTGTCCTTTAATACAACTTTTCCCATTTTCACAGAGGAGTGTCCTAGACTGCAAGGCAATATGTATTCTATTGCCATCTGTTAGAGGTGAGGCATTTATTTTCTGTTCATTGGGCAGTTTTCTTTATCTCTTCCACAAACCAATCCTCCCTCTAGGACATATATGCTGTTAATGGGCTACTGAATGTCCCTGCATGGCTGACAAAATTCCATCATCCCATTGTGGGATGCTCTACCCAGAGGGAGGAGCCAAGCATTCCTACCTGGATATAATCTCATGTTTTGGGACACCAGAGCAGCCTTTCCACTGGATTCCCAGAGGAGCAGCTGCCTCTTGCAATGGACTTTGAGAGGAAGACTACACCCATCTACAGGATCCCTACTCCAACAGAACCACCCCTGACACTGCAGAAGGACTGCAACCACAATTTCAATGGAACTGCCACAGACACCCCAACCAACAGGGTGTCAGGTTGTATTCTGACTCTGCCAGTGGTTTTTCTTTTGTATTATTACATGTATTTTGGTTTCTTTCTTTCCTTTTCCTAATAAACTGTATTTCTGACTTGGAGTCTCTCACTAGTTTTGCTTTCAAACCAGAACAAAGAGCGAACGTGTTTTTCACATCTACCGCTGTGCCACAATGTGAGGGTGAGGAAACCTCCTGTGACCTGGTGTAGAAGTAACTTACCAACCTCCACATGGCCTCCTGCATGCCCTCCATTGCTCAGCCCGTTCAGCAGCTCTGTGTTCTCCAGCTGCAGCTGCACTGGGGGCTGCAGCCTCAGCTCCTCCTCCACCCTCTGCCAGCTGCCCTTGGCCCTGGAGCCACGGCTGCTGTTGAAATGCTGTTTCACCTTCTGAATGGTGTTATCTGAAACAACAGGAAAAGCTGCTCAAGTCACCTCTGAAAGGCTGCTTAATTCATCCTTAGTGGTGTTAAAACCTCAATTGTGGTGATATTTTATCGTATCGTTTTGATTGTTTTAATTTCTTCATTTCATTTCAAAAAATTCCATTGCTGGTTAGGGAACAAAAATACTTCTTTTAGGTATTTTATAGCACAGAAAGGTTTGGGATGGAAGGGACCGTCAAATCATCCAGTTCCACCCCCTGCCATGGCAGGGACACCTTCCACTATCCCAGGCTGCTCCAAGCCCCATCCAACCTGGCCTTGGACACTTCCAGGGATCCAGGGGCAGCCACAGCTTCTCTGAGAACCTGTGCCTTCCCATCCTCACAGGAAAGAATTTCTTCTAATATCTACTCTAAAAAATTATAAAAATTATCTGTAACTGCCAAACAAAATGTTAAAATCTTGAGCATCAAGCCCATCTTAGATTTAACACAGGAATGGAGATCATTAAATTAATAAATAAATAACCACACAGCAATATTTGGCACTCAGTAATGTGATAAAGTATAAGAGTAAAAATTCTTTTAGAAATGTATTTTTTTCTTTGAAAAATCAGCTTTATGCTTATTAAAAGCCTAGATTAAAATATTAAAGAGGTTAGTTTATTAGTGTCTTTATTATACACAAATTTACACTGAAATCATTAGCCTTATTAAAGAGGCTAGTAAATTAAAAGAGGCTAGAAATTCCCCCAACTCCTACTCAATTAAAAAAAAAAAGGAGTAATGTGGATGTCAATATGAAATTACATCCTGGCTGTAATGTGCCCTGCAGGGAATCCACCCAATATCCAAGATGGCTCTAAAAGAAGCTTTCCTGATGGATTTCTCAAGTTTTTAAGCCTGAGTTTAACACTGTTAGTGAAATCTGGACTGAAGAGTGCAAACACACTGCAGGATATTATCCTTTCCCAGAAAACTCTCTCACTGCAAGGGAATTGTGTCTTTCAAAGGTGTGAGGTTCAGTAGAGCAGCTGCTGCTTGGCAAGAAAACCAATTATTTCTGGCTAAAAAAGAACCTCTGGGCATGGTTCTGAGGTATTCTGACTCCAAGTCATGCCAGAAATAAAGCTGCCCATAATAATCTATTCTGTCTCCCTTTTTTCCTGTACTCATCTGTCCTCACTTGTCAGATTTTTTTAATTAAGTTCAAAAGTGTCTGAGGTATGAATTTCTTTTTTCTCCTCTGCTTGTTCATCAATCAGCACAGCATTTTGTTCATAAGAGATGAACTCTCAGGAACTCCAAACCAAACCCTTCAGTAGTTCAGGGCATTAAGATTTCCCCCTCCTCCACACATGCAGGCAAAGGCACTCCCAGAGCCACTTTCATCATCAGCCTTTAGCCAGGAGATGTTGTTCAACACCATCAATTTGGCAGAAGGAGGGTTTTTACTATTAGAGAACAAAGTTACAAACCAAATTCAATAAAAGCATATGGTCTGGAAGCTGAATTGATGCTCCTTGTGTTGTAGGAAGCAGCAAATTCCCAGCGAAGCTCTTCCAGGAAGCAGAAGGCCATGATGGTTGAGTAGCTGCTGGAACAGATTGCCATGCAGGCAATATCCCCAGAAGAAAGGAAACTGAAATAGAAATTAAAAAAAAAAAAAAAGATCACATCAACATAAAAAGGTGAAATGAAGGTAAAAAGGTGAGGATGAAGCTGGGCTTTCTGTCAGAACAAAATGTACAGGCTGAGCTGAGAGCAGACTGAAAAATAAAAGGATTTTTGTTGTTGTCAAAGTCCTGCAATTCCTGCAGATCTATTTTTTCTTACACAATTATTTATTCTTAACTCATCCAGGATGCCTGGGCACAGTGAAGAGCACAACCCAGACTTTATTAAATTGGTACATTAGTACAAATCCAGCACATTCTTTCCCCAGGCTGGCTTTAAATCACCTGAATAAAAACCAAGGTGGTCAGAAAACCAGTTTTGAAAGAAAATGCAGAAAAAAAATAAAAGCAAAGAATTTTGTTCCCAGGAAGCAGATGGATTCCTTCCTTCCCTTGATGGCAACATCATATTAAAAGCAAGAAATATTTGCTAATTTGCACAACCCAAGATTTTCAAACACTTCCTGCTACATCACAATGAAAATTCTACTTTAAAAGGAGCTCCTCTAACACTGAATGCATATTTTTGTAAAAGTTTCCACCTGCAGATGGTTCAAACCTTCCAGGAGATTTCTCAGGGACATCTTCCCTTCCCAGCCATTTGTCAGCAGGAAATCACTTTAACACCCAAGTTTTGAAACTGAACAATTTGTCTCCTTCCTCCTGTTCCCATATTTTACCCCAACTTCATTTCCCACTCACCGTTTCTATTTCACCTCATTTTCATTTATTTGCTGTACTGTGGACTTGGGATTTACAGCTTTGCTTGGCTCTGCCAGCCCAGTTCCACTGGGGATCTTCCCCAAATTCCTGCTGCTCCCAGCTGGGATCAACACCATGCCTGCCTAAAAGCCCCCTTCCCAAGTTGTCCATAATTTATGGCCTTTTTGCCACGGATCCAATTGCACTGCTCTCACTGCAGAGCCAGCCTGAGCTGCTGCACACACCACAGCACATTGAAGGCTGCAGCACTTGCTGCCATCAAAGGGCACGAGCTGGCTTGGAGTGAAAAGGAATTGAGATGAAAATCTCTGCTTTTCTGAGTGTTTCAGTGGAAATTGCTGTATTTTTTAACTCCCCCCAAAAAGGGATGCTTAGTTTTAGCTTCACCTAAAGTTTTCTTCCATTTGCTCACCAGAAATGCAATCACCAGGTAAAACTCGCTTCTTAAATGAGTTTAAACAATTTTTTTCATTTCTTTCTCTGTAATTTCTTTAACAAATTTCTTCTCCTAAACCAAATCATTCCAAGGTACTTGGATGCCTTCTTAAAGGGATTTGTAGAAATCCATGATTCTCCAGCTGCTAAGAGCAACAAGCACTGCCCATTTTTGCTGTCCAAAATGAAAATGAACATGAGCAAAATATATATAAATAAGAAATACACAATATATATAACTAAATGTGTATAAATATTGTGTATCTATAAATATATAACTAAATGTGCATAAGTATTGTGTATGTATGTAAAATATATAACTAAATACATACATATATATACTGTGTATGTATATAAATTATATAAGTAAATATGTATAAATATTGTGTATGTATGTAGAATATAGAACTAAATGTGTATAAATATTGTGTATGTACATAAAATATATAACTAAATGTGTATAAATATTGTGTATGTGTATAAAATATATAACTAAATGTGCATAAGTACTGTGTATGTATATAAAATATATAACTAAATATATATAAATATTGTGAATGTATACAAAATATATAACTAAAACTATATATTGTGTATGTATATAAAATATATAACTAAATACATATATATACTGTGTATGTATTAAAAATATAACTAAATGTGTATAAATATTGTGTCTGACATAAAATATGTAACTAAATACATATATATACTGTGTATGTATATAAAATATATAAATTTGTATAAATATTGTGAATATATCTATAAATATATAACTAAATGTATATAAATATTGTGTAGTTATCTATAAATATATAACTACTTATAAATATTGTGTATTCATATAAAATATATAACTAAATACATATAAATATTGTGTATATATATGAAATATATAACTAAATATATATAAATATTGTGAATGTGTACAAAATATATAACTAAAAATATATATTGTGTATGTATATAAAATACATAAATGTGTACAAATATTGTGAATATAACTATAAATATATAACTAAACGTGTATAAAAATTGTATAGGTATCTATAAATATATAACTGCATAAATATTGTGTAGGTATCTATAAATATATAACTCAATGTGTGTAAATATTGTGTAGGTATCTATAAATATAAAACTGTATAAATATTGTGTAGGTATCTATGAATATATAACTGTGCATAAGTACTGTGTATGTATATAAAATATATAACTAAATACGAATCTACTGTGTATGTACATAAAATATATGACTAAATATGTATAAATATTGTGAATATATAAATATATAACTAAATGTGCATGTATATAAAATATACAACTAAATACATATATACTGTGTATGTATATAAAATATATGACTAAATAGATATAAATCTTGTGTAGTTATCTATAAATGTGTAACTAAATATTAATAAATATTGTTTGTGTATGTATATGTACATATGTATAAATGTATGTGTATTTCTATGTATAAATGTAAGTGCAAAATGAAATTTATGTAAATATAATACAGCATAAAACAAATAACAGTTATGTAAGTGTATTTATATAAATGAACATCCAAAATACAATATATGAACACAAAAATATAAATAAATATATACAGATACATAAGTAAGCACATGCTTACTACACTGAGCAGGAACTCAGGAATAAGCTTCAAAATCACTGGAATTCACACCCTACACAAGCAGCGTGGCACTTCAGGCTGGAATCAGCCACTGCAGACCACACCCACAGCATTATTTCAATATAATTCCAACCCCCAAGAGCAATATTTCAAAAATTAAAGCCAAAAAAGCCCCATCAGAGCAGAGCAGGGACTCACTGGATGCTGAGGTTACGTCCTTTGGCCGTGCCCCGACTGGGGTACCGCGCCAGGACGGAGGACAGAGCCTTCAGCCTCTTCCTGCACTCCAGAAAGTCCTGGTTGAGATGGAAATCTGTGGAGGCTGAGAGGGGAAGCCCATCCCTCACCCTCACCACGCAGGCAAAGAAGATCATGGACATTCTCCACGGGAGTATTCATGAGGACAACCTGGAAATGAAAGGTTTGAGTCAGTTCTTTCTGAAATTCCAGGCAGGATGAGGGCGAGTTCACCACTGGAACTGAACAGCACCTCTGGTGACACCTCTGCCACTGCAAGGCAACCAAACTCTTCTCAAAACTCATGGCTGAGCCAAATTCTTGCCTCTCAGATTAAAAGATGAGGCAGGGGATATGATAGGGCAATTATCTACCTGAAAAATATTCCTGTTATCCCTCCTACTTTGCCCAGAGCATCAGAAAGGCTGAGGAAAGCTCTCACAGGAGTTTGTGGAAGCTGCTGTGCTGATCCCACATCCCACTGATGTGCTGCATCCAAAACCCTGCCTGAGCATGGCACTTCTCTATTTTCTAGTGTAACACACAAATCCAAAAATAAATTTTAGGCTAGAGCCCACCAGGTTCTTTTTAAACTCACCTAGGGCTAAATATAGAATAAAAGTTGCCCTCTCTTGACTTCTTCCTCTTTAAGAGGTCACAAACTCCCGTGGAAAGTTATTCTTGGGCTTCACCTGGCAAATTCAGAACATGCAGAGATGTGTCCTTCAGACATACCATGAGGATCCAGGGCACGGTGTCAGAGGATTAACAGCACTTCATATCATCTCTGAAAGAGAATCAGAATGAACTAATTAAAAATTAGTTTAAAAACTTCATTATAAACCTGTATTTACATGCATTTTTGCCATCAGATCTCCTGTGCAGTGGGAAAACAAATCCTAGGAAGTGTTTTCCCTGCAGGAAAACAAACAAATAATTTTCTTATGTAATATATTCATTTCTAGACTCAGTCAAAGATGCTGTGGAATTGCATGCAAAATATTTATGATGCCCCAATCATAATTTTTTTAAGTTATGTCAGTAAAAGAGCAGCTCTAAATCAGCAGATTTTAAGGGATTATCACAAACAACTCAAGGAATTAAAAAAAGGCAAAAAAAGGAAAACCAAAGGCATTTACTTGGCTTCAGGCAAACTACATAAATAAAGCAATGGGGAAATAAAAAGAAAGGGAAAAAAATACTTTGTGAAGTCAAACTTTTGATAGAGAGAACAACTGCTTTGACCAGGCCTGTATCACACAATTCATTAGGGTGCTCAAAGTGGCTTTGAAATGTGGCTCTTCATGTTGAGCTTTTCTTGTCTGAGAAGTCCTGAGAGCAAAACCTTCTCTAATTCAGGCACCACAAACCCTCCTGATGTCTGATAAGGGCTGAGCTCCTGCCACAGGCAGCACTGAGAGGGTCTCATTTCTCCCCCACAGGAACCATTCCCACAGAAATTGTGGGAACCATCCCTCTGTCCAAGGTGCCAGCACGTTAAAGCAACTGCAATTATCAGAGGGTAATTATCAGAGGAATTAGCAGAAAGCACAATGGCACAAAACTTGTTTCCTCAGTAGTTTAGATCCTCAGTAGATCTTCTGTAGTTCCTTGAAACTACAGAAGATCAGACATCTCTTGAGAAGTGTTATCTTGAACTTTTCAAACAGAGATTAAAGAATTAGATGTGATTTTTTTTTTCCACATTCCCTCTGACAGTTCTCTTCCAGCTGTCGTTTCAGTTGTGAAAGCAAACTAAGCTCACAAACTCCAACACACATCAAAAAGGATTTCAACAATAATCATGATTGTTGTAAATCAGTTTGAAACATCCCATCAGTCTTCAGTGTGCCAATAAGCATTGATAAAACAGTGTAGAAAATTTTCAGATGAAAGTGAAATAAGCCCCAAAAATATTAACTTTAACAGAAATATAACATAAATATATGTTAATATTTAACAGAAATATTAACTTTAACACAGACAACTTGTTGCTCAGAATTGCTCAGAAGTTTTAGAGTGCAGGGCTGCTAATGCTGATGAAGTTTAGCTCCAAAATAACTCCAAAACAACCAGATGATCAGGACAATGAAAAAGCTTGAAACTGAGAAATCAAAGACATTTTGTAAAACCTACCCAGCCCATGAAATTATTCAGCTCCCTATGCCACAAACAGCAAGAGTTTAAATTTAAATATCCATAATTTTTTTAATCACCAAGGATAACATCACCTACAGTTAACCAACTGCACAAAGAGAGTTTTCCAACTTTCCAAGATGTACAAACCTTCTTGATGAAGGGCCTAATGCTGCCAGCTGCCCATCAGAGGGATCCTTTGCTCTGGGAAGGAAAAATCCAGGAAAATTTCCGAATTAAATGCCAGACTTCACTCTCCTTCCTCAGAAAAAGAGGTGCTGGGTGTTCCTTTGGCACAGCCCTTGCTGCTCTCCCATCAGAGGATGGTCAGAGCTGCGTGGCTTTGGCAAGTGACAGCCACCACTGGCACTGCCCTTGGAATTTTAACTACTTGCGAGCCAGTTCTGCCACGTCACCTGTGCCCAAGCACAAAGTGTCACAGCTGAGCAAGGTGCGCCCACAGACAGGTGGCTCAGAGCTGTCCCTGTGTCACCGTGGCTGCCCTTTCCTCCTGCAGACTCTCTGTTCGCTCACCATCATCAGTAGCCCAAAGATCTGTCACCGCCAGGACGTGGCAGCTCTTTGCCCTTGGCTCTGAACTTGGACAATGAACTCGAGGCTCTGCACTCAAATCTGGCAGAGTTCACAGGTGATAACATCATGGCAGCATCTGGCACAAGGCAGAACCTTGGGAAGGATTTCAAGGAATTATTTCAGAAGAACAGGTTATAATTTAGGACTGAAGGAAACAAAGTTGGGGGTTTTTTTTCATTTATTGAAGCACCTGTACATCCAACAATGCTTCAGAGTAAAACTGCCCAGTGCAAGACTCACATTAACAGCCCCAACCTCAAGATTAAACAATCCCGCAGTGTATCTAAGTGACCTGGAGCACAATTCCCCCTTCCCTCACTTCCCAGCGAGCAGCCAACTCTCCCCTGGCTGAGCAGGGATTATCAAGGCAGCCTCAATAAAAAAAAACCTCCTGCACTTTACTGTGTGTTACACAAGCTCCTCTGGATAAGAAGATTATACCCAACCCACCAGGCCACACTTCCCCAAATACTCAACAAACTCCAGCCTAATTGCCTGGACTTAGAAAACAATCTGCTCAAATGCAAACCAGTGCAGAGTTCATAAGGGAGATTGTATCAAAAACCTGGTTCTTTCACAAATTATCTCACCAGCAAAAGCAGGTTTCCTTCCAAGAATGGCACACTGCTCCCAAAATATGTGATTTCTCTCAAGCATTCACTGTCTCTCCCTGCTCAGACACATTTCCCTGCTCTCTAGGGTGTCCAGCTTCATCCCCATCTGCTTTGCTCAGGTCTGACCTTCCTGCTGAAGGAAGAGCCAAAAGCTTTAGCGGATGTTTCCATGGCCCTGAAGCAGAATGTGAAATTTTTGGGACACATGACAGATTGATATATGACCACAACTATTGCCCTAAAGCATCCTTGCTCAGGCAGGTGATCCCCAGAGGGAGCCCTGGACAGCTGCAGGTGGGATGAACATCAAACAGATTCAGGCTGACTCATCAAACACAAAACCTGAGCTGCAGCTCCAGTGCTGCTTTGGGTCTCACCCAACAAGGATGTGGTTCATGAGGGAGATTTATCACCTCCCCGAGGGATCACAAAGTGGAGCTTATCTTCTTCTCAGATATATAAAAAAACAAATCCAGACCAGTGTTAAATCTCTCATTTTCTAAGATTGCACCAATATCCACCTGATCCTTGCCAGTGAGCTGCCTCCAAGCCCCCAGCAGTGTTGAGCAGCTACAGACACCCCAGACTCACCTTCCAGACTGAGCAGTGAATAAAAGCAATTTGAAAACATGCTACTATCTCAAAATTTAACACAGGATTTGTGCATATCCAGAGCTTTTAGGCTCCTATAAATCCTACAGGCTTACTCTTATCCCCAAGGGGAAGCATGTGGAAAAAAACCCTTACCATCACAAATCTGTCTGCAGACACTCCTGTGGATTACCAGAAATGAAGCACACACAAACCTCCAACCCCAGCATCCAGCTCCCACATCAATCCCACTGTTCCAACAGATAATCCTCCAAACCACACTGCAACAACTCTGTGATGCTCTGAGGCTCTGCCCCACCTTCATCTCTCAGAAACACCAAATTCACCTGGTCCCAAATATTCACCCACCCCATCCACCTCAATCCTGTCACCTCCCCAAGCATAGCAGCTCATCTGTGTCCCTTCAGGGTCCCACCTAAAGACCCATCCTACATCCATCCTGTTCCATTTACATTACACAGAACTACCCCCCCACTCATACCTCTCCTCCCCACATTAAGCACCCTAAAATCCCTCAAAGAACCCCCTTCCCACACTCTTCAATAAACCCGGGCACCTCGAAAGCAAACACACCCATGCCCCCACTCAGGGCTCTGCTTTGTGCTGACAAGGCCTTCCACACATCCCTCCAGCACGCAGACACCCCAAAACCTTACCCCCAACCCCAAATGCTCACGTTATCCCTGCTCATCCCAAACCACCCCCAACCAAACTCCTCCTCCTCTACCCCTCAAGGAACACCCCCAAATCCTGTATCCTACATCCTAACACACGCATCCCCTCACTCCCCACATCCCCAAACTCCCCTCATCGCCTTCCCAAGCACCCCAATCCCCCAGACACCCCAGTTCCACCCCGGTCCCTCCCAGTTCGCTCCCCACACACATCCCGGACCGCCCCGCCCCGGGGACAGGGGCACAGGAAGAGGATGCGGAGCAGGGCCGTGTCCCCCTGCCCAGCCGGACCCTCCGGAGCAGGGCCGTGTCCCCCTGCCCACCGGGAGCCTCCGGAGCAGGGCCGTGCCCCCCTGCCCACCGGGACCCTCGGCCGCCGCTCACCTCCCGTCCCCCGGCGGCCCCGCGGCCTCGGCCCCGCTCCGCCCGGCGCCGGCCCCGCCCGCATCACCAGCGAGGAGCGGCGGGAGCGGCCGCGCGGGGAGCGCCGGGACAGCGCCGGGAGGACCGGGAGAGCGGGGTGGGAACCAGGATTGGGAACGGAATGGGAACGGGAGAGCGGGCCTGGAAAGGGGATGGGAACAGGGCTGGGGACTGGAACTGAGAACCGGGCTGGGGAACGGGAGAGCGGGATGGGAACCGGGATTGGGAACAAGGCTGAGACCGGGAGAGCTGGGTGGGAACCGGGCTGGGGAATCGGACTGGGAACGAGAGAGCGGACTGGGAAGCCGGGACTGGGAACGAGGCTGGGACCGGGACTGAAAACCGGAATTGGGAACCGGCCTGGGACCAGGATAGCTGGGTGGGAACCGGGCTGGGGAACGGGACTGGGGACCGGGACTGGGAATTGGGGAGCGGGCTGGGAACGGGACTGGGAACCGGGATGGGGAACGGGACGGGGAACCGGGATGGGATCGAGGGAGAGCGGGCTGGGAACGGGACTGGGGAAGGAGACTGGGATCAGGGATGGGGACCAGGCAGAGCGGGCTGGGAACCGGGTTGGGGAACGGGCTGGGACCAGGCAGAGCGGGTTGGGGAACGGGCTGGGACCGGGGGGAGCGGACTGGGAACAGGGCTGGGACTTGGGCTGGGGACGGGAGTGGGCCGGGAACGGGCTAGGAACGGGACTGGGAACCGGGAATGTGACCAGGGCAGGGACCGGCGGGGAGCGGAACCCGGGACCAGGGCTGGGGACCGGGCTGGTAGCGGGTCGAGAACCAGTCTGGGAACGGGGCTGTCAGTGCCTCGAGATAGCGATGGCGTGTGGGGAAATCCCTCTGGGAAGAGGCAGTGTCCCTACAGGAGACAGAGGATCCTGCAGCCTCATTCAGTAAAGGAGAGCGGCCCTGGGGCTCATCCCCGCGGGGTTTTCTCTCTCTCTCTCTCTTTCTCTCGGTTCCGGAGGGCGCAGCCTCCTTTATCCCAAACTCGCCGCTCGCTGCCCTCTGCCTGCCCCCTCTGGCCGGGGTACCAGGGAGGTGCCGCCTTCCCGAACCACCTACCTCATGTTCCCCCCTCCAACCTGTCATTTTACCCCAAAGTTTAGAAACTCAGGGTTGTGCGGCCCCATTTGGCTGTTTCAGGAGTTAAACTGTCCATTAAGCCCCATTTCAAAGCCATTTACAGCCATCCCCTCACCCTGGAATTGTTTGTAAAGACATGAGCACGCATCTTCCCTATCGGGAATGAGGATGGGGATGGTGATGAGAATAGGAATGGTCACAGGGTGTAGGGATGGGGATGAGGCTGGAGATGGGATAGAGATGAGGATTGGTGTGGGAATAGGGATGCATGCAGGGTTGGGATTAAATACCTGAGACAGTATTTTTTGTTTGGACTTAGATGTTTATTATCTATATTACAGTCTCACAGACTGTGAGTTCTACAACACTTCACTCTAACAAACTAAAAATGGAGTCTTATCTCTTTCTCTACAAGGTTTTTTAAGGATAAACTGTCTAATTAAGAAATTACATTTAGATTATTTTTACTTTTAACCTAACAACTAACTACCCGTGGCTTGTAATGTGGAATTTTATCTAATTACACAATACCACCTAAACCTATTAAGAAGAAGGATTAGTCTCTGTCCTAAAACTTTCATCTTGCTTTATATATATTACTGTATTCTAAAACCTTTACGTTTTCTTCTATGTGATATTACACATTTCTATTCAAACTACACACTTATAATCTCAGTTTCATCATTCAATTTTGGCAGTCTTCTTTACGGCTTTAGGTCAAATGCAGTGTTCCCTTGGGGGTCATTGCTTGTCAGCACAGAAAGTCTAAAATTCTCAGTATCCAGGGTACCAGCAAGGGTGGGACTGGATGATCTTTAATAATCTTCCCAAACCCAAACCATCCCCTGACATCACTCTGTGTTTCGCATTGCAGGTGCTGCAGCAGCAACACAACACAAACTGCTCTCACAGGACATTCATCTGAAAAAGCAGCAGAATAAAAAGAGTAAACAATAAATCATTGCTGAACAAGCTCTGCACTCAAAAGCTGTGACGTGGAGCTGTTGTCTGAGTTGTTGCTGTCTCTCAGCAATAGCAGCCCTGCTCAGCACCACTGAATGGCCACTGGTGTTCTGCTGCTCCTCTGACAGATTCCACTCCCCACAAACACATTTATAAGGAAAAAAAAAATATTTCCGTCTACACATCAGCAATGATCTACCCAGTGGAGCGGGAGAGAAACAAAAAGCTGATTTTTCCCTTGCCACAACCCCAGCTGTAA